GGTTTGCGTCTGTCTGAAAAAAAGATTGCTGACCATCGCGGTTTGTGTAAACTAGCAAAAGTATATATGATTGAATGACCAAACAAGCAGACAGCGTGATAGAACATTATCAGTAACAAAAAAATACTCGAAAGTGTATAGAATTCTGTATTGTGAACACCACCTTTAAATCCCTAGAGATGCGTCTTTCCACGAATCTTAACACGCCATTTGACACTTATTGCAAGACCGACAAAGTATATTAGTGCAATTCCATTCCGTATTGCTTCCTAAATACAAGTCATTTTTCGCACTTGCAAAAATTTAAACGCACTTAAATGTACGAGGCAAATAATTTGATTTCTGAATTTCTTATTTCTTGGACTTGCAGCCGTCGACACACATCCGCGACATTCTAAAGAACTATTCTCTACCGCATATTTGTCTACGTAGATCCCCCGTGTTCTAAATTATCATTCCAATGACAATCGTACTCTTTTGCATGATCACTTCCCATAATTAAGCATGACCAACAAAGTCTAGGTATTTCTGACACAGCAGGTTGTAGGAAGCGAACTGGCGATGCCATCAATCTGTTCACTTTACTTTGGCTATCTGATATTCAATTGGGTGGTCAAAGCAAAAAACGTTTGTCTTTTTCTAGGGCTTCTAAAATTTAAGCACAAGATTGACATCCTATAATGTCCACATATTTGGCCACGAATAACAAAAATTAGCAGCAATCGCAATCTTCAAGTGACGTGGATGTTACGCATTCAGCTTGTGATGAAATCAACGGTCAAGGGGAACAACCGCAAAATATTTGGTGACAATACGTCACTGAAACTGAGCCAGCTGAAGGATACCCAAGGCCATGCCATTCAAAGCTCCTTTGTTAACAAAATTAGAGTTATCAGTACCGATTTCAGCATACTCAGAACATAGAAACCTAACTGTGGACAGTGATATGTTTGAATTCTACCATCAATAGAACTATCTTTCTGTGTTTAATATGCTCTATTTAATTGTCAGGGCGTTTGGGTTTTTAGTACGTGTGGATGAGGCATTATCTAAGTGCTATTTACCTCACAACTGGTTAGAGACAGATTACAATTACTAAAGAACTTGCATTTATCTTTTGCAAAAATGTGAATTAGAACATTCTAATATTACCGGTTTCATATGGGGTAGACTAGATATCAGGCAAATGCCCAAGCGAGCAATGTATCAAAGATATCGCGCGCACTTAATTGATTACTCAAATAAAAAGTGATTTCGGCTTCAGAAGATGAAGCTTCGTTTGGGTTACTTGAAAGAAATTTATTTAGAAATGCAAACA